TTAAGTTGACTTCACCCGAACACCAAGTATAGCATTCAACGCGCCTGAGCTAGACAGACACGATGATGCCAAAATCGCGGCAGTGCGACCATTTTTGGCAAAGTAATTAACCTAAAACCGAGCCCGTGCCTTGTGGCACTTACCTGACCTAAGAGGTCACTGGCTGACCTAAGACTTTAAAATCGGTTAGTAATCGTGCGTCTTATAACGGCACACACGCTCGTTTTTTTCCGCGAGGCTCTAGCTCAATTAGAGGCGAAACGGCGAGGGAGTTGTACCATTGGTGGACGATCTGTTTGTGCTTATGTATATATATATTGTTTGTCTTGTGTACATATGTATATGATTATTGTCGCGACCCCCATCGATGGATGACTGTCGTCTAGTGCTGAGTGTTCTTCCCCCTGCCCGCATGATTGTTACCCATTATACTCGGATCTAAGCCGTAATCGCCACGCCATATGTGGAAGGCTTTTGGTGTCAATACATACATACATACATACATACCCTCCCCGGTCCATATAGAAAACCAATCGGTCCGGCCAGGGTTAAATACCGGAATTGTGATCTAATGTAAAAAGACGGCCCAAGGTAACCCGACGTCAGTGACAGGTGTCCTATATTTGCAGCGTCTTATATTCACGAAGGTTTCAATTTCCACTTTCTTCAGCCGAGTGATGGTTGTCAATAGCAAGGCTCTCTAAATGCAAGCCGTAATCGTCACGCAATATGTGGAAGGCTTTTGATGTCAATACATACATAAATGCATACATAAAACGCGCTTTTCACCAAATTCATAAACTCAAGCGCATCTGTTTTTAATGACCAGTCAACTACGTTGCTGTGTTTGTCGGAGACTTGGCTCACTGACAGCGTACTTGACTCCTACCTAGCCTTTAATGGCTACACGCTGCACCGGACAGACAGGAGAGTCCCCCGGAAGGCAAATACGGCTGTGAGAGGCGGCGGGGTGGCAATCCTGTGCAGCGCCAGTATCAAAACCGAACGTCTGAATATACACAGCAGCGACCCGGTCACCGACGCGCTCTGGCTCACGGTCACGTACCGGGGCAGGTCGGCCGTGATTGGGGTGCTGTACAGACCACCGGGGAGCACCGTGTCACGGTTCATCGACAGCCTTCGTGACCAGCTCCAGGATGCTTTAGCCACCGGCAAACCAGTGTTCCTTTTCGGTGACATGAATATTGACGTTTCCAAACCGGACTCACGTGGAGTGGCGGCGTACGGCGCTCTACTCGGAGAGCTGAATCTGCAGCAGCTGGTTGATAAACCGACTCACTTAGAGCCCACGCCTGCCATCCTTGATCACGTGATAACCAATCTCCCGGACACCCGAGCATCGGTCACAGTCCTAAGGGAGGCCATCGGTGACCACCAGCCGGTGACTTGCTCAATTGCTCTGCCTAAAATCCGTCTTAAGCCTGAGTACCGCGAGATACGTCGCTGGGACCGGGCTGATTGGAGCGCCATCTGCCTAGACATGCTGCAGGCGGACTGGGAGCCGATGTTTCAAGCTGTCGGCGTCGACGCCAAACTGGACGAGTTCATGACCATCTGGGACGCCGTCATGGACTGTCACTGCCCGACAGTTCGGACGAGATCAGCACCGCTTGGGTGCCCATGGCTTAAGGAAAACCCCGAGCTCCAGGCGCTGATGGCCGAGCGGGACGCCGCTCACACGGACTGGCTGCAGTACCGGACGGAAGAAGACCGCGCCATCTACCGCCGCCTCCGCAACCAGGTGAAGAGCAGGCTCGCCGGCGCGCGCAGGGAGTTTCTCTGCGATCAGCTGGCTCACCAGGACCATCGCGGCTTTTGGCGGCGGCTGAAGCAATTCGCCATTCGATCGAGTGCGACGTGCGTTGGAGGCCCATTGGCGGTGGGACCGGAACACGCAGACACGTTTAACGAGTACTCCTCGATCGGGGCTCGTGTCGCTGATGAGCTGCGTGCCGATGCTGATCATGTTGCCGTAGAACAGAGTGCGCCGCGTCCCATTACCGTATGCTCGTCCGCTTTCAAACTAAAGCCCGTCACACTACCGGAGCTGTCATTAGCTATCAGGGGTATGAGTGGCTCCAGAGCGGTGGGACTCGACGGTGTGCCTATGCATGCAGTGCGGAAGTGTTTCCCTGTGGTTGGCACAATGCTCCTCCACCTGATTAACGCAACGATAAGGACCAGCGTGTTCCCGTTAAAATGGAAAGTTGCACTTGTTGTGCCGATTCACAAGTCTGGCGATATCAACACTGCCAAAAATTATCGACCAATTTCATTGTTGTCGGTACTGTCAAAGATTTGTGAGCGAGTGGTGTGCGACCAGCAATCGGCTTACCTATGCGATAACGGCATACTGAGCGACACACAATATGCTTACCGACGCAGACACAGTGTAGAGGACGCCCTGGTCGACGCTGTCGAGTGGATCTCGAAGAAGATCGACTCAGGCCACCTAGCATCGATAACATCCCTCGATCTCAGTAAGGCATTTGACAGCGTCGACCACGGCGTCCTTCTCAATAAGATGGGATGGTACGGCATCTCGTCTGATTGGTTTGCCAGCTACCTGAGCGATCGAAGACAGATGGTTCGCGGCGGCACCACTGTGCTGCCAGTGACGTGTGGCGTCCCCCAGGGATCGATTATCGGGCCGATTCTTTTTTGTCTCACGGTTAACGAAATGCGAAATTTTCTTCCCCATGGAAGGCTCATCAGTTATGCTGATGACACCCAACTGCTCGACAGTTCTTCAAGGGACAAAGTCAGCATGAGTTTGCTCAAGATTCGCCTCGAGGAATCCCTCAAGTCCATAGAAATGTGGCTGAGAGTAAATTCCCTAAAAATGAACCCCTCAAAAACGGTATTTTCACTTTTAGGCACACGGCAAGCCGTCAAGGAAAGTTCCTCCTTTTTCTTCGAAATGTCTGGCCACAAATTCACCCCATCAAAAAACATCAAAGTATTAGGTGTCATCATTGACCAATCCCTCACATGGGAGAGCCACGTGTCACTGGTAGTTCGCCGGTGTACGGGTATTCTCGTCTCGCTGTATCGGTTTAGACGTCACTTCACTACTGAAGCGCTCCTGGCCATCATCCAAGCCCACGTATTCAGCCATATCTTGTACTGTTTGCCAGTCTGGGCTAGTGCATGCAGCAGCCAGTTGAAGCGCATACAAAAGCTGCTGCATTTCGCAGCCCGTGTGGTCACTGGCGCACGACGAGCCGAGCACATGTCTCCCGTGCTTAGGTCTATTGGCTGGGTGAACTTTGAGGATATGATTTCGGAGCGTGACTGTATTCGTGTATATCGTGCGCTTCATGATCCGGACACCCCGATTGCGGTGCGCCGGTTATTTACTCCGAGACGTGACACAGCCTCCCGTGACACCCGCCTCGCCCGGTCTGAGCAGTTTGACCTGCCTAGAGTGAGACTCGCCGCCACCCAACGTACTTTCTCGTACCGCGCCGCTACCTCTTGGAATTCACTGCCAAATATTGTGTTGCAGAGCTCGTCGATCGGGCAGTTCAAAAGCCGTCTGAGGATGATGCATAGAAGTGGTCAAAATTAATCAAATGAAAGTTCTGATTAGGTAGGAGTCTATATGTGTCATCATTGTTTTAATGTCTTTATAGTTTTAAGTTCTCTTAACCTTTGTATGACTCGAACTTCTGAAAAAGCTGTGTTCGCACGGAAGAAGTTTGTGAAATATACAATACAATACAATACGCATGGATGCGTGCAGGCCCACACAGGTCAGCGTAAGCCGGGCGCGGCGGCCGAGCGGAAACTGGGGCGGGGCGGGCGGTAGTTGGGTAGGAAGAGCGGCTCCTGCAAATTTTGCGCAAATATGCGCAGTTAGCTTTTATGTTGCCCTGGTGTAAATTTAAATCCTGCTTCATCTCACAAAAAATCAGAGTGGAACTAGATGGGACTACCTGTTGTTTCCTTACCTAAACTTTGCAGTTATATTCCAGAATCACTGTAGGAGAGCCTTCATAAAAAAGCTACAGTAAATCTTAGGTAGGGAAAAAGTATACCAAAAATTTTGCACTGACCAGTCGGCAACTTCATAACGAACATTTTGATGCATAATATGTGGGATTTCAATTTGGTGTCAATCAGCAATAAGACTCTGAATATCCGGCTCAAGAAACCTCTTGCTCCGCGTCAGTTTCCGAGTTCTGGGATACCCCATCTTCGGGGGCTGATTACAGTTATTTTTGGTCACCCGGATTAGTTTCTTTGGCCTAACTATAATAATTTGATCAATTTCAAATCGATCTATATGTTACGGGCAAAGTGCGAAGTTGGGCAATTCGCGAATTGCCTAGGCCATTCGCGAACTGCCGGCAATTCGCGAATGGCCTAGGCAAAGTCCGGTTTTTCACTTGGCCTAGGCAATTCGCGAATGGACTGACTTTGTGCTCACAGGCAAAGTGCGTAATTGGGCATTTCGCGAATTGCCCAGGCAAAGTGAGTAACTATATCACAAAAGTTTTCTACCGTGCTAAAATGAGTATATTCATTAACATTAGGACATTTGCTTATGGCTAAGTCTATCTGAGGCGGCCAGAAACTTGCTGTTCTGTAATTTTAGGGAATTTTCAAATAAATCTGATAGTACTAAGGTTCTCCTTCCGAACTCGTTGCCATTTATAGTGGGAGGGGGCTGGTGTGTAGTACTTACCATCGTCCCTCTTGTATCCTAATTTAAATAGGTGTGCAGACGTGCGAAAATGATTGTCCTTTGTGGGGCGCGCGGGGTGGCAAATAAATGCGATCGAAGATACATTTTTATGACTCATTTGAATTTTATTGGATCAAAAGTTTAATCATATGAGGTATCTGTATAACGCGAAAGTGTTTAGGTTAAGAGAGGTTGTGTACGCAGTTATCAAGTTCCGTAGCACGTGGTCTTTAAACTATTCGATAATTTCCGTCAAAAACAAAACCATGCCAAATCACAAACAACAGTCTGACTTTCTTACTATTTATTATTGCAGTGAGCGCCTTTATGGCAGCGACTGATACAAGTAACGCCCGCCTTGATGCACTTGCATCGGCCTTTACATACACCCCTCCTGCACTTGCAGGAAAACATCCCCTGACCCTTCCCCCCTGAGACCAGGCGAGCACATTCTCTAAGTGTGATCGAGATGTCGGGGACGTCGGAGGAGGAGATGAAGTGCCCGGCACACGGTTGTACTGCTTCTGGGCCGTAGACGCCGGACAGCTTCCCCTTCGTCGTGCCAATTATATACTGTGACTCGCCGACACACTGCGAACACGGTCATCTATGTCAACGAGCGATACAAAGTTTTTACAGCATCAGCAATTAATTTACTGCAGATAATATTGATATGATTTATAATTATTGCGACCAGTGCCAGACACCTACAGTTTCGATCTGTGTTAAAAACGTTTTGTTGTTGACATCAAATCTAATTGAACCGACAATGTCCTTTCAGCGCCTTATACACTTGAAATCATGATGAAAAATAACTAAGCAACTATTTTTACAGATATTAAATCGTTTCAACATTGAGAACAATATTCATATTGATTGAAAATCATATTATATACTTAATTCACAGTAAAAAGTTATCGAAATAAAAAATTGAAAATATAGCAATAGAAAGCGTGGCGAGAAAGAGCAACCAATAGTACAAGCAGCTGCAAAAAGAAAATTACTCCAGACTCACCTCCAATATCACTCCGATAACATTTTTCTGTTGCGTCCTCGCCCTGTCCACGTCGGGAATGCCAATGCGTACATTTTGACCCACAGATAGAATCTTCTTCGCCTTCCTCGTCCGAGCCAGCATGAGATTCGCCTGTTTTTTCTGAGATGCCGAGGCGATCTCCCGCTCTTCAAGTGCCCTCTTAGCACGAGAACACAGATCGCAAAAGCCGTCAGATGCAGGTGCCGGCCCATAACAGTGAGTGCAGCGCCTGCTTCTTAGTGTTCGCTTAACAGGCTGTGCAGCTACCGGTGACTGCTGCATGCCCTTGTTGCTGCCGGCTACCGCCACTGTGGGACCGCTCCTCCCTGGAGTGCAGCTAGCTGGCTCCTCGTCGCTGCTGCTGCTGCCGGCTACCGCCACTGTGGGACCGCTCCTCCCTGGAGTGCAGCTAGCTGGCTCCTCGTCGCTGCTGCTGCTGCCGGCTACCGCCACTGTGGGACCGCTCCTCCCTGGAGTGCAGCTAGCTGGCTCCTCGTCGCTGCTGCTGCTGCCGGCTACCGCCACTGTGGGACCGCTCCTCCCTGGAGTGCAGCTAGCTGGCTCCTCGTCGCTGCTGCTGCTGCCGGCTACCGCCACTGTGGGACCGCTCCTCCCTGGAGTGCAGCTAGCTGGCTCCTCGTCGCTGCTGCTGCTGCCGGCTACCGCCACTGTGGGACCGCTCCTCCCTGGAGTGCAGCTAGCTGGCTCCTCGTCGCTGCTGCTGCTGCCGGCTACCGCCACTGTGGGACCGCTCCTCCCTGGAGTGCAGCTAGCTGGCTCCTCGTCGCTGCTGCTGCTGCCGGCTACCGCCACTGTGGGACCGCTCCTCCCTGGAGTGCAGCTAGCTGGCTCCTCGTCGCTGCTGCTGCTGCTGCTGCTGCTGCTGCATACTACAGCACGACCGCTCCTTCTCCTCCCTGCATGGGCGCGGCCAGCCGGCTGCCAGTCGCTGCTGCTGCTGCTGCCCGATTGACTGTCCAGTCCTGCATCTGTGGCCGTCTGGCGACTTCCATCAGCCACCAGTCCCAGCATATCCGCCAGCTCCTGCTCAGTCCTCAACAGTCTGGCGGGCGCTCCTCTGAGCTGCGTGTCCCTCAGGCCCATGTGGGGCTCAACACCGAACATCGCTTTGTAGGGAGCAGTTCCAATCCCGTCGTTCTTCTGAAACAGTCAGAACATATTCAAGATATTAACAACAGAATGTTCACACAAAATTACGAGACTGTGCAGTTAAGCGTAACCAGCTAATACTTTACACTTCTCCCGCTTTGACTTAAATTACAGCTAATGATTGGAAATATTTTTTTTCTTCAAAACATATGTTTTAAACGAATGAGGAAAATTTCAAATATTTTTTGTAACTAATACAGATGAAGGCTATATACCTGCGTGTTTATCATCCACTGAACAAAGCGTAGTCCCTCGGGCCAATTACTTTCCGGGTTATCGGCAAGCCAGCACCGAAGCTTTTCCTGAACCAGCCGATTCGCCCTTTCGACAGATCCCTGGAAACATTAAATGTGTCAATTTACCACATGCCGAGATATCCCTTTAACATTAGCACGTGATTTTGGGAAAAGCTTCCGGACCGCTCACGGCTAATGTTTAAGGTATTTGGGAAAAGGTTCTTGACCACGGTCATTTTGATTTTCCCAGACAATTTTTAAGAGAATATTCAAGATGAAAGTAGCAATTAACGGCATGTAGTAACTATCTTCCCACCCTTTGGGATGGGAAAATGCTTAATTTATTCACCTCGAATTTTTTGCTACAGACCTCGTGCCTGCCGGCACTCGGTACTTCCGCAAAAAAAACCTTGGTAAATAAAATGCATTTTCCCAGCCCCGGGCGGAATAAATATTACTATATCCGTACATGAGAAAGTCAAGCATGCACATGGCGGCGAATATTACATGGTACAGTTTGCATTGACCTCTTTTAACTCTCGATTTATTTATTCATGTTCTTTCCACTTCTATTTATTTGCGCAGGCATTGATATTGAATAGTCACTTTTTGAGCAATCAAATAAGGGCGCTTGATAGCCTATTTGCGCTTTAGCGTCCGTCCATAAACCCCAGCACAAACATGCACACGATCAATTCAATATGAATATCTATTTTAAAGACTTCAAAAATCCATGTAGGAACAACAAGCTAATTCTATACCAAATCTAAATTCGTATATTGGTGAATAGCCAATCTGGCTTATACCTATCAATCGCTCACCTGGGACTGCGAATGGCGAGGTCGTCCACGAACGAGCTGGAGCGATGGCCACATGGCTGTGCACTGCTTTATTACTTTGTTGCGAAACTCGCGTCCGTTGTCGCTCTGAAACACATTTAGGTTTTCTGTTTTAACGAATTTTTAACGCAATCTTAGCCTTTATCTGAACTACTTTCATGTTTTTATTGCGATGTTTCACACAGTGGTTGTGCAGTTACCTTCATGAATCACGAGCGAATCATTGTAAAAGTGACTTAGAACAGTTCAAATTACCCTAATCTTGACCTTAGGTGAAAAGGTCATCAAAGGTAATCCTAGGTCAGTGACCTCAGATGACCTCGGATGACCACGGATGACCTTGACACATGGCGGGTCAACTATAGTGTATTCATAGGCGCTGAGCTCGAATCTGACATCCATTCACCTCTAAGCAATCATCCTGACGCTCAAACTCGCAAAAAAAAAAACAGCTAATTGAAGCGACTAAATTGACCTAGAAGATGCTCCTAACAAGCGTGACCTTGCGTGACCTTGACCTTGAGTCAACTGTATGCGATGTCTAGACATCCATAAACACCAATAAACTCTCATAGAATGCATACTCATGCGCTGGGAAGCAAGAACGCGCACCATCGTGCGACAGATCGCAAAACCTGCCGATTTCGTCCAAACATGACCTGACATATGACGTCATGACTTGATGACCTGACATGACATCGACTTGAAATTTCCACAGTACGTGTCAGATTGATCAACGCGAGGGTACTGTAAGTTTCGCGGCGATCCGCCGCGTTTTACGCGAGTTATTCGCGAAAAACCATGGGGGGGGGGTCATCCGACCCCCCTACAAGTGCGAGGGTTAATCTGAAACTATGTATGTCTCTGGTTTTCTTCTAATCAAGTCAGTTATATCAACTCCAGCATCTGCTATAATGCGCAAAAGAACGACCAGTGCATGTTCGCTCATATCCAAGTAATTTTCTAAAGACTGAAGCGGCCAACCCCACCCTAATATCTTGGAGAGCCGTACATATTTTACGAATAAGCGCATGCTGGCTGCTGCTGCTGATGAGATGGAATATATTAAAACAACCGGTAATACATGATAGTATAGTACAGATGCAGACCATAGACAAAATGTAGGGTCTTAATGATGAAATTCCCTTAACATTCAATGAGGGTGAGATAAACTGTTTTTGCACTTAAAAACAGAGAAAAAATAAAAACAGAGAACGTTCATGATTGCTTTCACCTATATATCGGTAAAAAAATACAATATGACAAAGCTACTTTACCTGCAAGATGTTTGGAGCCCCAAACAGGCAGAATATGTCGATGAGATGAAATACCACCTCTTCCGCCCTTTTTGATTTTAAGGGCCGCAAAACGACAAACTTGGTTAGGTGGTCTTGATATGTTAAAATGTATCTGAATCCCTTTGAGCTTTCACTCGTCCAGTCTATTAGATCAACCTGGGCTCTGGAGTTCATGTCGTTGCTGAGAATAGGCTTAGTCACTACCTTCTGGCCAGGCCTAGGCTTTTTCTGCTCGCACGTTTGGCAAGTTGAGAGGAATGCCCAGACGACTTTTCTGCTGACGCTTGCATAGTGCTTTTGAACTTCCATAAGCGTCTTGTCTCTTCCGCAATGCCCAGTCAAAGAATGGAGTTCATTAATCACATCAAACAAATCTGATTCCCGCACGATTTCTTTTGCACTTTTCTTATCTACAACCTTTTCAATTGATCCGAACTTGACTAGCCTGTACTTCTGCCAGATGCGATAGCGTTTCGCGGTGCCCGACGGTTTTGCGCCTTTGCTGATTCCCTGCAGTTCTTCCTTTATAATCTCGTACTTTTCATCGGTAATCAAAGCAGAGTTTGAAGATATTTTGGTTTCGTGAACCAGTTTATAGAACTGTTCTTTTTGAGACATCTTTGCAGAAACGACGAACGGTCTACCTGCGAAAGATAGAGATGTATGCAAGATTACAATAACAAATTGACTTTATGAATTTAAAAAATATTGATAAATATTATATAATATACAAAGAATGATAATTACGAGCGAGCGCGAAGTGCGAGCGAGTCCTTTGTGGTTTAGTGGAAAAATGTAAGTATTAGCAGCCCGACCCGGCCAAACGACGCTAATTGACAGCTTATAACTTTGCAACCACATGTCTGATTGACAAGTGGCTTTCATTGATGGGGAGCTACATCCCTTTGCCACGAATGGAGCATACCCCGAACCATGTGGGTACCAAATTTAGCACGTGGCACGTGCAGAGTGAGGGGTGTCGAAAAAAATACAATGCTACAGCCTTGGAACGTCTGCGCCGATAGTGTTGAAATTTGGCATGCTACTAGGTACTCATAGGCCTAACCCTCCACAAGAGTGAGAAGGGAGATTGTGCCGCGCGCGCGCACGTGCGCACTCCACCTTCGATTTTCAATAACTGCAGCGTCTGTCATGGGCGTAGAAACGGCTAGAACATTGTGGGCGCATAGGTGCAGATTGCAGGAGTCTAGCCATAGCTGGTTGAGCGGGGGGGGGGGGGTAGGAAGCGGCAATTGGATGTGATATACCGACTTTACCATTTTTAACCCGCACCCTATTTTCCCCTGAATATCAATAAGAAACAAACAAACAAACGAAAACGGTGAGCTTCACGCCGCTTTTTTTTACAAAAAAAGCGGCAAAAATCGGTGACCAGATGACCTAAGGACAGGTCAATTTTGCATCCTCTCTTGTAGGTCAATGGAAGAAAATTAAAAGGTGTCTCTTTTGAACGAACGTCATTCTCAATAATTTCAAACACCAAATTATACCTAAGTTAGCACGACACACAACAGAACCGAAAAATGGCACGTGTGACACCTCTTTTAGCAGCTGAGGTCATCTTTGGTGGGGAATTGTATCTAACTTTTTCGTAAATAACTTTTGGGAGAGGCATGATAGAGTAAAGTTTAAAACACCTTAGTTTTGTTCGGCTAGACGATATACAGATCGGCTGATATGCAACACGATCTTTAACCCGCGCCCCGCTGGGGGTCCTGGATTTCCACGCCCTGCTGGGGGAGTGTTTGAACACCCCCCCCCCCCTTCTAACTCGGCTCCTGGGCCACGTAGCGATACCGGAAAGGCGGCGTTCGAAGAGCGTCAAAAATAAGGAAGAAATCACTTCGGTCACTTTTTTGTTCAGGTCAGAGGTCAGGTCACCAGAGGTCATTAACACGTCCCCTGGAGAGGGTCTGAGAATTACGCGCCCTCGAGGGGGGGCATATTCTGCCCCCCTGCTATCTCGGCTCCCAGAAATGCTAGAAACACGAAACTTGGGGGGTGGGTAGGCCCGCATAAGAACTCTTTGTGGTGCAAATTTGGTGATCCTAGGTCAACATCTTCAAGGTCAAATGACGTCATCAATGCAAAATTTTCGCACTTTTTGGTCAAACGTGCAGCGCTTTGCTTTAGCCGGTCTCGCGCCCAAACTAAGACAGATAGCTTTGATCTG